GGTTAATAATTATTGTATTTAACCCGAATCATATATAAAGCTCAATATTCGTGAACTTTTCATCCATTGTTTTATTTAGAAGCCATTGAAGTTCATCTTGTGGGGTCATGTGGTCATGCATTCATGGCTATATTATATACCACAAATATTGTAAACAGTTAATAAATATACTCTACTTAAGGGGCATGTACGGTACATAAATGCAAAATACCAACCTATAACTAAACTACACATGTCTTAGGCTAAACTTTAATATTATTAATTGCAAAATATAATAGATATTTGATTTCCAAAAGAACCACAGCCCACAGTGAGTAGAAACGCACAATATATTTATACAGTTACAATAAGCTATATTCCTATAAATTACCTTGTCACCCTTGTAAGTGAAATTGTCTTGTTTTGTATCTTGTCAACACTTCTTTATTTAGCTTGCATATTATTTAAACTGTTTCAACAAACATGTTTTATAAAATTATGTTTGATATCTATATCCAGTGCCGTAAAGTTTAATTTACATGAAGTACATCGCATATAAATGGTCGGAATTCTAAATTATTTAAAAAAAATACTAAACAAAATGATATTAAACAAATGGCACACCGCGCACTACATCGTGGTTTTAAGTCTTTTACCTGATAATTTGTCAAGTGTTCTGCAAACAAGCAACAACAAAGATTGTATGGTATGTACGATGTAATCATTGTTTTACTGTTTATTTTATATACAGTAATACAGGTCTGGAAAATTTAATAGATGAGAGTTGCAAAACATGCAAATCTCGCTCATATTAAACCTCACGTATGTTTTTCGTATGATAGCCAATATAATTATAACAAGGAGCTTGAGTATAACCATGCACATGTCGAAGTACAACCATTGTATACAATGCAGTGCTCGATCTACATGCAACAGTGCACAAATTGCAGAATGACCTTATTATATACTCGTACTCATTGACTCTCATTGTCATAGTCTCCTACTGTTGCTCTAACAGCAATTAGGCTTTGAGAAGCCATGTATATTATAGATTAATTTGTAGCCCAGCCACCATAGTCCATATAAATTGTAGCCCAGCCTCCACATTTTACACCAATAATGAAATTAACCAGTAACTCAATTTTGTTGCTGGTAGTGTAATGGAATCTATGGGTCTTTCTTAACCCCAGAATTCCCTAATTATTGTAAAGTCTGCATAAAGCAGAAAAAAGCTCTGTTTTTATTAACGACCGGAGCCTATTAAGTGACTAAATATTGTCAGCCTAATCCACTTATTTGATTTATCCATGTTGCACTACTTTTGATTGCAAAACACCTGGATTATACATGATTTGCCAGCAAAATAGCAGCAATTGATAAACTTGAGTACATTATTGACTGAATGTATCAAACAGAATGCATGTTGGCGAGTTAATGCAATTTTAAGCATGGGCGTACGGGAAGGAAAATATTAGGGGGTTGGAAAGAAGTGATTGGGGGGGGGGGAGAAGTGATTACAAAAAAATGCTATTAGATAGCATATTTCCCACATAATTGACGGAATTTCCCACAAAATTGACAGAATTTGTCCCATTTATTTCTATAATAAACCAATATTGCCCAACTGTGAAGCGAATATTGCCCGGCTGGCTTTGTTTGCCCAACAAAGCCAGGGGGCGACCGCCCAGCCAGAAACTGGGTGGGGGGCGGTCGCCTCGTCCCCCACCCACCCATTACGCCCATGATTTTAAGCGATTTTAGGCGATTTACAGCGATTTTAGGCGATTTAAGAGAAATTTGACCATTTTAACCCGCGATTTTGGGCGATTTTAGGCGATTTAAGGCGATTTACCGCCCCAGAGTAGGCCTTTCAACGTTTATTTTCAAAATTTAAACGTTGTAATCACAACGTTTAAATTTTGAAATACAACGTTTAAATTTTGAAACTAAACGTTAAAGCCACTCCTTATAGAAACGTCTGAAAATCTTCCTATAGAAACGTCATCGTACAACCGTTAAAACTAACGCAACAACTATTCGCATTTAACCGTCTACCTCATGAATCCGCAGTAACTAGCGTCCAAGGAAACACTGGACGATTCAAAGCGCCCATCAAGACCCATTTCCAAGCTTCTCCGTTGCCCGCCTTTACAAGTTTCTCCGTTACCCGCCATGCATCACGACAAACAATACAATATTTTGAAATCACCACTTGCACGCGCAAGACAAGAAGAGTATTCGCTGAATATATTCTCCATGTGAAGGCAGCTATAGTTCCCAGGTATTCATAAATGTTGACTACTTTATAGCGGCTAGTTACCATTTTATTCGGCGACTACATACTAGTTAATTTTACTTGACCAGGGGAGCTCCAGTTGCGAAATGTCAAAAATTGTCTCGGCCGGCACAGAAGATTTTAGTTGTGTGCGGATATATTGTTTCCTCATAGCCAGATGTTATAATATTAAAGTGCTGTCATTTTATACTACATTATTATTATCAATTTTCAAGCTTTAAAATAAAACAATATGAACATTTGAATACTATATTATAGTAATACAAATTAAATGCCAAATTTAATATTTCTTATAGCATGTACAGCAATTCTCGGGCTTTGCAGTCATAAGTGTGCTGAAAACAGCTCTCGGCATGATTTGCCTGCCATATAGAAAGTTGGGGGGTTTTCTTCAGCCGCTGAATAGACCATTTACTACTAGACCTCAAACTGTCTAGCCTGCGAACAGGCTCTCAAGCTGAATTGAGAGCCTGCATCGATGACTAATGAATTTGAATATCTGCGTCTCAAATCGTGACGCGAAATTCTCATTGGTCAGATGCTATAATTTATATGTTTCCGCTGAGCTCTATATATGTCAACTGCTGAAGCACTATGCATAATAAACACATTAACTGATCAAATTGGTCTTGGTCGTCTTATATCAAAGCACGAAATGTTCTGTTTTGAGAAAACAGTATTTAAAACATTTGAACTTTTGCTTTAATAATATCTTATATTTCGAAAAACAGTATAAACTGTACGGTCTAAATTTAGTTTGCACGGTCTAAATTTAGTTTGCACGAAAGTTGTAAACAACTCCAAATAAGGCAGACATTCCATATTTGGAAAAACGAACGTTACGGGGCAGATATTCAAATTCATTAGTCATCGATGCCGGCTCTCAATTCAGCTTGAGAGTCTGTTCGCAGGCTACAAACTGTCGGAAAATGGGTTCAATTTTTGGCATTTCTATATATATAAGTTTGGGAATTTAAAAATTTTCCAATTAATTAAAGTATACTATGTAGATTAAAAATGGAAAATTTCAAGTTCAGTTAATCACTTCCAGTAATTAAAAAAAAATTATGCCATTGAAAATTTCACAATAAATTTTTAATTTAATGCTCAAAAATATAAACATCCGATTATTTATATGTCTTATCAAATACTATGTTGGCACCTTAATTAAAATGAGTGAGTAGTGACTCACTTGAATGTAATCTGCATTTAATTAATTCCGTTAAATGAGAGAATATTAAATACTATATTAATTTTGACAGACATTGTTGGTACTGTTTATATTAACAGCTCGATTTAATGGCGTGAAAATAAGGAATGGCGCCATGAGCGCGTACCAAACGTCACTGAACAAGCAATATAGATATGGATAACATGCAGACGACTGCGACTTCATTATGTTCTACGCCCGTTTTGCCGTACTACCATATTGTCTCAAGAATGATATTTGCCGTCATCGGATTATTATCTAACAGTCTACTACTTGTTGGACTGATAAAGGATCCACTGAAGTGTTTTAGAAATTCTTCATCATATTTCGTCACAAACCTTTGTGTTTCGGACATTCTAACTTCCCTTACGGTGATTGTGATAACTTTCTGGCGTAATTCTTGTATAGACGGAGTACGTGTGTATATTTTTTTTTTCGCGTACCGTTGTATATTTCCTTCACTAGTATTTTAACAATGGCCTTTGACCGTTATATCAGTTGTTGTCATCCATTGAAATATAGAATTTTCATAACCAAAATGTTTACCAAGTGCCTAATCCTACTACAATGGTTGTTTTACATTGTCGAATCAATTTTCGAATTGTTTTACGAAAAGTGGTTTTTCTATCCAAGATATATAGTGGGTACATGCATTGTACTCAGTTCCGTCATAATGTATGCCAAAGCAGCCTATGTATTGAAGAAAAATTCAAGGTACCTGAGGAGCATAATGGATCAACCTTCATCCGTTGTTCGACATCAAGAAGTACGACTGTTGAATGAAAAACGCTTTCTTTCTACAATATTCATGGTGTCCTGTATTTCGGTAGCAACCTTTTGCCCTTTGATCATATACGATTCAATAAACGGAGAGCCCTATTATTTGAACTATGCGAAGCCTTGGTCCTTTATAGATATTATTAAATGGGGGCTTTTCACCTTGTTTTTTCTCAATTTTTGGATAAATCCTTTTGTGTATAGCTGGCGCTTGACAAGATATAGAAAAACTCTTTTGGTGGTTCTCAGGAAATTTGAGCAAAGGCCTTAAGATATCGGGACTTACTGGGATAAGGCAATAAAAAGTTTGTTTGCTTCATTTGTTTGTGTAAGAACTTTTAAAGTAATCTGGATAAATAATTTATTCTCAGGCTTTACACATGCATGCAAGTACTGAATGAAAATAAATAGGCGGAAACTTATTCTGATTGTATATTGTGTTATAGTCGGAAGGGTCATGAAAATTAGTGTGTCTTCAAAACCTAATTTGCTCTATTGAGAGCACTGGAAATAGATCGGGCGTGAAGGGAGATGGGAGGGGGTGGACAGTGTATCCAAAAATATTCTTTCAAAATGAAAAATGCCCATAGGCCTCCACCACATACATTATATATGATCGTCGCTCAAGAACTTTTAATTTATTTGCATATAATTATGTACCTTAATTATATATAATTTTGATTAGACATTTTAATTACTTCATATATACACTATTTATGTTATTTTACTATGTAGCTCGACATGACAGCATGAAGTAAAGCCAGGGGTTTTACCAGCATGAAGTAAAGCCAGGGGTTTTTTTAAGTCCAAGTCCTATAGCTATACTAATATATATATATATATATATATATATATATATATATATATATATATATATATATATATATATATATATATATATATATATAATTCTTTGATCTTAAAATATATTTGTCGCTACACTGTGTTTCACGCTTGTGTTTCATGTTGATTGAATCAACTTCATATCGCCTGAAGATCGCTTCGAAAGAAGCGTGAAACACAGTGTAGCGACAAATATATTTTAAGATTAAAGAATTAATTAAGCTCTATCGTATATTGGTATTGAGCACTCTTCGTTCAATTACGGACAACAAGAATTAATATATATATATATATATATATATATATATATATATATATATATATATATATATATATATATATATATATATATATATATATATATATATATATATATGGGGCTATGAGGGCTTGGCAGATCTCAGGGTTATTATTATTGACAAAAAAAAATATGAATGATCCTACGCAAAGAGAGGCATTTTGGGCATATAATTTGGACACGTTTGTACCTAAGGGATTAAATGTAAGGGATTTTGGGTAATTTATGTTAATGAATTGAATAGGATATAAAAGCATGTACATCAAACTCTGTTATTTATCCTTGATAAAGGGGCATGCCCCGAAACGTAGGATAAGAATAAAGTCTTAAAAAAGACAATGTCGTAAAACACAACGCTGAGAGAGTTAAGGAAACTGTTCAGACCAGACACGTCCGTAAACTCGCTAAGTTAGGCGCCACAAACAGTAGCGATTACATTGACAAGGACAGATGGGTAATTAACCTATCCGGCCATCAACTAACACCTGCCGAGACAAGAGTCCTACAATATGGTTTCAATTTTGCACCAGCACCGAAAGCAATCCCTGTACCAAAGATCGTAGCAAGTATAGAATCAGGAATTCGAGACCTCCCTGAAAGTAACAAAGAATCCATACGCGCTACCGTCACAAATATCCTGAAATACAGCAAACCACCAACAACTTGCAACCTTTCACGCCAACAAAAGCTCGCTTTGAAAAACCTGCGCGAGGATAGTAGCATTACAATTATCCCTGCTGATAAAGGAAAAGCCATCGTCGTCATGGATAACGACGACTACACCAGTAAAATCAGTGACTTATTGAGTGATAAAGAAACGTACTTAAAAATCACAGATAGACAAAGAAAACCAGTTTCCAAAGTAGAAAAAGATCTGATCAAGCTACTCTCCAACATAAAGGAGACACCCTCAGAACACGATCCTGATAAATCTCAAATACATAAACACCTTTACCTCCATCTCCACTCCACTGATGGCACACCAGCAAGATTCTACGGGCTTCCCAAAATCCACAAACCTGCGGTACCACTTCGCCCCATTACAAGTTGCATTAATTTCCCAACATACAACCTCTCGAAACACTTGGTCAAAATATTATCCCCACTCGTCAGAGGGACATATACAGTTAGGAACAGTTTTGCCTTTTCTCAACAAATTAGACATCGACAAATTGCAGACGATGAAGTCATGGTATCATTCGATGTTGTATCCTTGTTCACATCTATTCCCACCAAACTAGCCCTACAGGTGATCAAACAGAGGTTGCAACAAGACATATCGTTGACACAAAGAACAGACATATCCATTACTAACATCACAAAATTATTAGAGTTCGTCCTTCAGAACAGTTTCTTCACATATAATAATGAATATTACCAACAGATCTCAGGTTGTGCTATGGGGTCTCCCATTAGCGCTACCATTGCTGACATAGTTATGGAACATGTGGAAGAAACTGCAATTTCTACAGCACCACATCCCCCGCGATGGTGGTTCAGATATGTTGACGATAGCCATTCCTGTCTGAA